ATCAGGTTATTTGATATTTTTCATTGAATCTTAGGAGTTCTCTACATTCTGGATATTAATCCCTTACCAGATATATGATTTGCAAATATTTTCTCCCATTCTATGGGTTGTCTTTTTATTCTGTTGATAGTGTATTTTGTTGCACAAATTTTATAAATTTTTATGGAGTGCAATTTGTCTATTTTGTTGTTGTTGCATGTACCTTTGGTTTCATAGTCAAGCAATCATTGTGAAATCCAATGTCATGAAGCTTTTCTCTTATGTTTTCTTCTAAGAGTTTTATAGTTTTAGGTTTTGTATTTAGATCTTTGATAGCTTTTGAGTTAATTTTTGTATATGTGGTTACTTAAGGGCCCAACTTCATTCTTTTGAATGTGGATATCCAGTTTATCTTGCATCATTTGTTGAAAAGACTGTCCTTTATCCATTGAATGGTCTTGCAACCTTCTCGGAGATCATTTGATCACATATGTGAAGGTTTATTTTCAGGTTCTATACTCTGTTCCATTAGTCTATATAACCTTTTTATTTGTCAGTAACACACTGTTTCTATTACTGTAGCTTTGTAGTAAGTTTTAAAATCAGGAAGTGTGAGTTCTCCAGCTTTGTTCTTCCTTTCAAGATTGTTTTGGCTATTTAGCGTCACTTGAGATTCCTTCCTAAATAATTTTTTAAAATTTGCATACAGTAAGGTTCACTTGTGCTGTAAGATCTGTGGGTTTTGACAAATGCATAGTGTCACATATTCACCATTACAGTGTCATGTGGAATAGTTTTATCATCCTAACAATCCCATATGTTTCACTTCTACACATTCCTCCATTCCCAAGTCCCTGGAAACTACCTACATGCTTACTGTCTCTATAGTTTTGCCTTTTCTAGAATGTCATCTAAATGGAATCATGTAGTATGCCGCCTTTTTAGACTGTCTTCTTTCACTTACAATATGCATTTAAGGTTTATCCATGTCTTTGCATGGCTTGATAGCTCATTCCTTTTTACTGCTAAATAGTAAGGAGGACAGTTTTATATTCTGAATTTCACAACAGGTAACTTCATAGGGATCTATTTGATAATTTTTTCTCTCAGGTCCTCTGGTCACACAGAGACATTTTTTGCCATATCCCTGTGCAGCACTCAGTTGTTTCCCTAATATAATGATCAATTTAACTCTTTCTCCCAAACCTGTATATGCTGCCTAGCAAACAATACAGGGGCTCTTTAGCATTTCAGGCCTCACCCAAACAGCTTTTCAGAATTTACCTGACGAATACCTGTATTATTCTTCTTTATGGTCCTGGTTAACATTCCCTTTTCCCAAAGTCAACATTTCACCTCTCTTTATATAATCTTTTAAGGTGTGAACTGTATCTTTAGCTCTGTATTCTGCAACAATGCTGTGCTTGGCCCCCACTGGGTATTCAATAAATATTCATTGAATGGAAAATAAGTGATTTGGTATAGTGTGATAGCCAGATTGCAGACAAACCAACATAACTTGAAATGCATGCTATATTCCATTCACTCTGGTAATATAACTGTTTTTTATGTACTGTTTCTTTTTTTAATATTTGAAGGCTACTTCCAAAAACTGGCCTGAAATCTGAGATACATTCAATTTATGCAGAACACATGGTGTTTATACAAGCATTACCAAATAGTATCATGCTAGTGAACCTTGCTAATGTATGTCAGAGGTTCCCAACATTAGCCCAGAACATCAGCATTACTCCAAACAGCTGAATTATGTTGTATGAAAGTTATTTTCTCATAAAATGTTGCATGGCTAGGTATTGGGAGTTGGCTGGCAAGATTAGAATTATCATCCATGTTATTAGTAAAAGGAACTGATGTGGCTATTCATTAAAGCATTAGCTTAAAAAAACCCTTGACACTGGTATAAAATTTAAATACTGATCTCCAAGCAAAATATTCTAGAAGGACCCTCATTTTTACATACTTAAGTCTAAAGATAAACATAGTTCAATCTGTGGCTTCCTCTTGCAAAAGCCTGTTTCTTGCATGCTTGCTACCTTCAAACTGAGTACATCAGCCCCTATATGCCAGGTCCTTAATTTCAATGTGAATAAACTGTTTGAAATTTGGGTGGTAGGAAAAGAGGGAGTTCTTAAATCTCTCCTCCCCTTTCTCCTTGCCCCTTCCCCTTCCCTCCCTGCTTCCTCTCTTCCTCCTCCTCCTCCTTAAAATGTCTGCCATTGTCTTGGGTTATGGAGAAAGTTGTTATCCAGAGAGAGTAATTTCTACTCAGTTAAATCTCACGTGTTTGCAATCATCCTTCACATATCCAATGGTTTGTATCAGAAATGAAGTCTTAAGGGACTTGTTGACCTTTCAGAGTCAGGAACTCTCCATTTTAAAGATTTATCCCTTGCTGGGAGGATTTTTTGAAAGTATAAAAATGTGTATAAGGGGAATATTACAAAAATATTTTCAGTCTTCGGATGTTTTAAAAGAGGATACTCCATCTTTTCTTATTTGTTGCAAGGTAGGTTCCCATATTTTTAATGGTTGAAATGTTTGAACTCTTTTTATACCTTGTCCTTTTTCTGGACCCTTCCATTTGTAACTTTGAGGTTGTGGAAATGACAAAGAAGTTGCTACTAGAAGATAGTGGTTTAGCCGGAAGTGGTTGGTGACCACTTCAGGGTAGATGACCTTTGTTTCTCGGGCATGGCAAATCATTTAATTTGTTTCCCAAATTCCAGTGCCTCAAAGTAGGCATTGGAATTTGGGAAAAAAATGGAAAACAGAAGGTAAAATTGTGAGGGTCTATATAAGAATCTTCCAAAAGTTTGCTTCTCAAAGTAAATGAAGATAAGATTACTTGGCATACAGATACGAACTTTCCAACATTCCAAGTATGCAAAAATTCCATGTATGCAAACTGGCTTCACAATTTCAAAGATGTGGATTACTTGTGTGCTGCATTTAGCCAAAATGAAAATCTAAGTCTCTGGTTTTCATCGTACCCCAATAATAACTATGCTATTTCATCCTCACGGCCTGTAAGAGTTAATGTCATACATTGGAGCTAGCTTATTAGTAAAGAGATACCTAAGAATAACTGGTTCAATGTTTTTCTTACCTGATCGTGTTTTCAGGATGAAAATCAACTGACTATGAATTAGGAGTTGCCAAAAATTCACTGTGTTCCTCTTGTACCCATACCATTGATCGCTTGGGTATTTCCCTCAGAACATTTCTACTTTGACAGACGGACACACAGTTTCTGAAAAAAATGTTTGTAGCAGAAGCTGCTGCTTTGGCTTCCTGTGTTGGCAGTAACAGATTGCCTGATTTTGACATTGGCAACCCATATTCTTTTCTTTATTACATATTGAACAAAAGGTGGCTGCTAAGCTGCAAACAATTCATATTTATTTCTGTCTGCACTGATAGATTCTTTCAAGTTTTACAGAGTTGCAAAGTGTGGTGTGGCCCTTCCTACATTTTCAAAACTGGTGGCTGGTTTCCCATACAGGGTACATATGTATGAAACCCCATAATGTTCCTGCTACATCATATAGGTTGCACATTATACAGGTTTAGAAGCCCTCGCATATATTATTTCACGTTCACCTTATAACATCTCCACAAGATACGGCAGACATCACTCTAATAATTTACAGATGATGATGAGGCTCAGAGAATTTCACTAGGTTTTCCATAGTCACAAAAGTAGAATGTGGTAGAACCTAGATCAGAATCTAGGCTTGCAGATTTGACCCTAGGAAGCTTTACTGTAATACAAGTTCTGAACATTATTGCTTTTGGTCAAGAGGCATTGTAATATCATCAAAGTACGGAAATGATATATTTTGCAGTTTATGTTCTGGTGGTACAAGATAGCACTTTATACTTCTCATTTTCATCACTGTGACATCTTGATAAAAGGAAATCTCATTGCTATTCTGCCCTCTGATTTCTTTAATAGTTAATCTCATTTTCCAACAAGAATTTTAAGACCTGACCTAAATATTATAATTAATACATTAAGAGGTTATGTTAGCACGACATACTTTGTTTCCCTTTTCTAGTGTGGATACCCGTGAATGTAGTTTAGTGTGATTTTCAAAACAGTAAATTTTACTTTTTCAGTTTCTATGACCGAGATTACATAATTGTATTAAACCATCTTCTGAAAGGTCTCTCTCTGGCAAAGGAAGAGCACTGCTCACTAAAGTATTGAGTTACAGATTCTTCCTGTCACCTTTTGCTCAGCAAAGCTCAATGCACAGCTTCTACTCAGAGTTGATGATTTCATCTAGTCATGAAATCGTTTGGGGATGGAGAGTGATGCTAGAATAACAAGGAAATGTTTAAGGCCAATGCTTTTTATACTGACATCTAGGCTTCATAAGAATATTCCTTTACCCTATCTCTGTGTTTTACTCTTCCTCACACACAAATAAGTCCTGATATCTTTTACTAAATATTAGCCCTTTAGAGCTGTTTGACAGAGCATCTAGTCAAACACGTTTCTCAGAACCTGGGAGAAACCCAAGGAATGGCTTTCTCTCTTCAGTGCTTTTGAAGGTTTATACCTATAAGGTGTAAAGCAATAAATCATATCTTTTCCTTTTTTGTTTTTAAATTATGGATATGGTAGCACAAATTTTATTTTTCTTCTACATAGACCCATATATTAACTGATTTGAGTATACTTACCTTTTTTGTAACATGTAGAATTAGGAAAAACAGAGAAAAACAGAAAAGTCAATATTCAGAAAAAAAAATATTATGTCAATTTTAATTGAGGCACTTACATTGTATCTAGTAACATTTAAAAAGTCTTGGAACCTCGTAATATTCTCCAGAAAACTCAAGATATTGAATGTAGAATATTTAAGAAATCCATTAAACATCGGTTTTCTGTATCTCTGTAAAATGAAAATGAAAATGTGCCAGATATTAATCCCTTTAGGAACCTTGGGAAATTTTATCTGCACATGTCATTGACTCTTCCCCTGTCCTCTTAGGTGGCCATGTTTGTGCTGCAGCTGGGCAGTGTCACATTCCTGCTTACAGAGCCTGTGATCAGCGCGATGACAACTGGGGCCGCCACCCATGTCGTGACTTCACAAGTCAAGTATCTCTTGGGAATGAAAATGCCATATATATCTGGGCCACTTGGATTCTTTTACGTGAGTTTTCCATATGAATTTGTTCATATATTTTGGGTGTGTATGCTTCAAAATGTAGAATTTGGTTAATTGCAATGCTGAGTTTTTTATATTAAGGCAATTTAGGCTTAAATAAAATCTTGTAGGATTTTGGAAATGTTATTTGGGGTGTGAAACTAGCTTAATAAGTAACATTTACTAATTTTGGGAACAATTCCTTGTCATAAAACAATTGAATATGGTATAATTTGGGGGCATGATTAGAAAAATAGAACTTGAAATTTTGTGAGCCAATTCTAATGGAAGCCATCTACTGGGATTGTGGCCCAGTTTAACAGCAGAACACTCTACTACATTCCTTCTGTATTGTGAGCCCTGGTATGGATTAAATCAGAGGGACTGGTCAAAATTGGTGGCTGGAACTTCAGTAAAGAATAATCAGCTGTGAAAAGCTACCTGAACTCGAGAGAGAAACATTTGGCCATTTTTGACATATTTTCCTAACAATACTCCATTGTTCTTGGTTTCATTTTGAAGTTGACCTCAAATCTGTGACTGCTAAAGCTCCCATCATGTTGGGAGTTTATTAAAAAAGAAATTTTTTTAATGAGTTTGATGGCAACCAAACTTTGTTTTACCTAATTTTATGCACTGCTATGTATTAAACTACATTAATATTTATAATGAGCATATTGCCATCCTTAATTTTCTTGAATATTAATGGCTTAAAGTGTCTCAATAGATGGCTTTGAAACAATTTGTTGATCAAATCCCTGTTACTGAGATGGTTTCTGGTGTTTCCCTATTATACATGACCCCATAAGGATCCTCTTTATCTGTATATTATAGTCTTCATCACTGATTATTTCACTGGGACACATCCCTAGTAATGGAACTACCAAGTCAAAGGGTGTGATATTTTTGTCAAATTTCAACCTGAAAAGTTGTACCCATTAATATTTTACTCTGATCTTATCATTGGCAACTCTGGTTATTATAATTTTTGAAAAATGTCAGTTTGATATGTGAAAAATTATACCACTTATTTAAACGTGTATTTCTCTGACTAGGTGGTAAAATAGTTAATAAAGATAGTAATTGGCAACACAGAGCTGGAAGCTGGTTCTGAATTTTTGTTTCTTAGGTAATATCCGGCTCAGTGATTCATTCATTATAAGAAAGCTTAAAACCAAACAAGAACACTGGAACTGGGCTTGGAAAAAAGCAGACCAAAGTAGCTGTAAGCTGTCAGGTGACTGGCTGACAGTTAAGTCTTTTAGTGATGCCAGGCCAACAGGACAGAACCAAATCAATGATGGTTTCTGTCTTGACCTCGCTCCTGAGACTAGCCTGCTCTTCTGAGCACATACAGCATAAAGAAATGACTGTGGGTTAAAACTTGGTCTCTTTAGTCATTTTTGCATACACAAATAATCATCTTTCTTTGTACTAGTTGTGTTAAAGAAGCAGGGTATTCTGATGCGGGAATGACATTGATCTTTCAGCTTGTTTCTCCGGTGGCAGGCAATGTGAATAAGATGTTGTATTAAAGTGGGGTGTGTGCGTGTGTGTGTGTGTGTGTGTGTGTGTGTGTGTGTTTCCATTTTGTTTTCTTGCGAGATAAAAACTTCAGGCTACTTTACCTTGGTCTTATAGGTTAAACACTGTGAGACTTCTGGAGGTCTTTGGTAAGATCTCACAGTGAAAAGGAATCAGATTTAGGAATATTTTTATACTGCTGACTTTAAATTCAATACTACTCAGTTGGTGGAATTTGCTATGCTTTATGTTGATGGAAAATGAAAAAAAAAAGTTGCTCTTGCTTTTCAATGTCACAGAGCCCTGCACTTTTAGGCTGTTAGGTAGAAATGGTGTTTTGGCTCTTTGCCACGGTTTCAGAATGAATGCTGATATTGCAATGTCAGAAATTGTGGTGATCTGAGCAATAGATTAAGAAATAAATCTTGTATCATTCATAGGTTACACTGGGATATTGCAAAGTGTGCTTTGGTGTAGTTAGGCTGAGAGAATCTGATGGTGATAACGTAAATCTGAATTTGTCCCTGCATCATTTAGGTGGTACAGGAAGGAGCAAAGCCAAGCTCAGCAAGGATATAGGGCAGAGGGCATCATAGGGACCATGGCCATCAGGTCAAAGGACCTGGAGGAGAGTGAATTAACACACTTTTAGGATTTTTCACTCTTTGTATTTTTTTTATTTGCATAAATTTATGGGGTACAAATGTAGTTTTGTTACATGCATAGATTGCTTAGTGGTGAACTCGGGGCATTTAGGATATCCATCACCCAAATAGTGTATTTACATTGTACCCATTAAATAGTTTCTCATCATCCACCCTTCTCCCCTCACTTTTCCAGGTCTCCATTATCTATCATTCCATGCTCTACATGCATGTATACACTTTATCTAGCTCCCACTTATAAGTGAGAACATTCAGTGTTTGTGTTTCTGTGTCTGACTTGTTTCTCTTAAGATAATGTCTCCAGTTCCATCCATGTTGTTGTAAAAGACATGATTTCATTATTTTTATGGCCAAATAGTATTCTGTTGTGTACATACACCATATTTTCTTTATCCTGTCCTCCATTGATGGACACTTGGGTTGATTCTGTATCTTTGCTATTGTGAATAGTGTTGCAATAAACATATGAGTGCAAGTATCTTTGGATCTAACGATTTCTTTTCCTATGGGTAGATACCTAGTAGTGGGATTGCTGAACCAAATGGTAGTTCTATTTTTAGTTCTTTGAGAAATCTCCATACTGTTTTCCTTAGAGGTTGTAATAATTTACATTCTCACTGACAGTGTGTGAGAGTTCCCTTTTCTCTGCATCCTTGCCAATATCTGTTATTGTCTTTTTAATAATAGCCATTCTGACTGATGTAAGATGATATCTCATTGTGGTTTTAATTTTCATTTCTGTGATGTTAATGATGTTGAGTATTTTTTTATATGCCTGTTGCCATTTGTATGTCTCTTTTTGAAAAATGTGTATTCATGTCCTTTGTCCACTTTTTAATGAGATTGTTTTGTTGTTGTTGAGTTGTTTGAGTTCCTTGTAAATTCTGGATATTAGTCCCCTGTGAGATGCATATTTTGCAAATATTTTCTCCACTTTGTAGGTTGTCTGTTTACTATTGATTATTTCTATTGCTATGCTGAAGCTTTTTAGTTTAATTATTATGATTTCCATTTGTCTATTTTTGTTTTTGTTGCCTATGCTTTTGAGGTGTTAGTCATGAATTCTTTGCCTAGAACAATGTCTTCAACTCTTCGATGAAGAGTTTTGAATTTTTCACTCTTTGATTATACTTCCTGCTTCTGAGTTTTCACCATTGTTGTATCTTTTTTGAAAGCTACTCAGACTGATGAGAGATATATTAATAGAACATGCTACTGATATTCCTTGGAACATAAGTTAGTATCTAGAATGTTTAAAATTCTTGCACTATAAGCCAGTCGCAACTCCTAATAATGTCAGGTGGGATACTTATTTTTGTCAAAAGAATTCAGGTTTGGCCAACCAAAATGTCCATTCACTAATTCTAGTGGTAATATTCCTCACTGTCAAATTTGAGAGAAAACACAGCCTTCTACCTTTATTCTGTTCTTAATTTGGTGTCTTCAGGTTAGAGTCTCTTTCTTTTGCCGTTATGATGGTTTCTATAGTGTTTTCTTCGGGATGCCTGCTTCTGAGCTATTCAAATAACCTCATTTTCTAATATTAACAACTACAATCTCCATCTATTTGGTTGTTCTGGGCTGACAGGTGTTCTTGCCACAGTGGAACTTTTTTAGCAAGCAATTTGAATCAGATACAGGTAGAGGTATGTGCTCAGTTCTGTCCTTTTAGTTTATAGATCACACTTCTCATAGGTTTGAGGGATGGATGTGACTTTTCTACATCTGACATGACAAGCACATACCACCAACTCCAGCTAAGCTCACTCTTTCTCTTTTAGCTGAAAGTTCTTAACCAGTTTCCTCAAGTAAGGGATTCTCTCAGAGTGTTAAACACTACTAAGGCTTTCTTCTAATACCTTGAGTGCCCTCCCAGAATTTCTGGGGTCCACATTTCAAAGGGAGCCTCTGGAATAACTGTTACGACCCTCCAATATCTCTAAGAAGAACATATATAGTTAGGCCAAATTTATGTAGCCTTCCTAAATTCTTTCACAGATTACACTTTACTTTTCCCTTTGTTCTTCATATTTTATCTCTAAATTCATATATTTCTAATGAAACTATCTTTCTTTTAGTATATTGCTATTTCTTAGTGAACTTTGATGAGTACTTCAATGCATTCTTCTTCAGTTATATATTGGGTAAAAATTAATTTTTCTTCTGAGTTAACTTTTAGCTTTGGTGATTTTGTGAGGACCCATACAATCAGGTAGACACTGATCAGTCTTTTTTTTTTTTTTTTTTCCCTTAGAAAGAGGCAACAGGAAACAGGGGAAAGAACTTTAGAATCATAGAAGCCCAGATTCAGATCAGAGTTCTAGCCATGACCTGAGCAAATGATGTAATGTCTTTGACTTCTATTTGCCTGTTTTGTAATTGATGATAATTATACTTGTTAAAATTCATTCCCAAAATGAAATGCATGAAACATAGGTGTTCATTAAATGGAAGCTGTTGTCTTTCTTACTAATAATGAATAGTTTATTACCAGAAATTACAGATTTTTTTAAAAGTGCCACTTCAGTAATAGATACTAATGCTTTCCTCTATAGAGTACTCTTAAGCAGATAAACAAAACTAAATAGCAGAGCAAAGTTGTATCTATTTTTGCAACTTAAAAATAAAGATGATTTGAAAATTTATAAAACTTTAAAAAGTAAATATGTCTGCTGTTAATGAGGGTTAGTCATTAGAATTGAAGAAATGCTATTTTTTAGTTTATTTTTGATTCAGCTCAAATACCCCTCAGAAGTTATAATCCCATTTAATAAATTATAAACAGTGCTGCCACAGGCTTAAAAATAAGCAGAAACA